TGTGTGAAGACATCTGCAACCCAACAATGCAACTTCAAAAAGGGTTCTCTCTAAAAGAAAAAAATTCTATTCCAAATCTTCACCAAAAATCTGCAGTTAGGGTTTTCCACACAAGACCTCCAATTCTCCAAAATAAAATTTCACAACACAATATAAAAACTTCAAGCATCTGGGTTTATAAAGCAATTTCAACACAAGACCTTCAGAGTGCCCCAATCAACACACAGTTTATAACTTAAATTACAGGTTTAATGGTCACAAGCCAGAAATAATCTAAATCAACACACTTATATCCACTACTGCCTGTTGTGCAACACTTTGAACAGCTCTGGTCAATAACCATTATAAATACATTTGCACTTGAAATAGGTGGCTCACGCCATGTTTAGGACACATAAATCCTTCCCATAGTAAAGATGAAGTAAAGATTTCATTAGTATTTATAATGCCCATCAGTTCTCAGGTCAGAAATGAACAGCAAACATATGTTGACAAGATCTCAAGATCTGGAGAAAGGTTCCCATGTGCTGTAGTGTCGCACCTACTGCTCCAGACAGGCTGGCCCAGCAGCAAGTGCGGATCAAGTGCAAAAGACAAATTTCCCTACAGAGACAAAACATACACCATCTGACAAATACTACAACGTTGTGTAATAATGTTAGAAGACATTCTCATAAGAAGTTTTTGCAGAAGCTTGTCAAAATTGCACTTTTGTTACCAACAAATTCCAAATATTCCAATTTGCCACCTACATGTGTAAGCAGCTCTGTGGATGTGGATATCCATTAATAAAAGCAAAAAAGAGTGGAGTCCGTTTAGTGGTCATCTGATCGATATGAACAATGCACAAAATCGTAAGGCAACTTACGGAGTATAAAGTGCTATTTTGGACTTATGCATGAATATTATTTGAAAAAAGCTCAGAAAGCAGATATAATAATCACTGATGATCCGATTCAAGGCAATATAAATAAAGTAAGGGCTGAAAGTGAGAAATAAAAAGGGGAGAGTCTCCAACTTGAAAATGGTAATTCCCAATCTCTTACGGCAGTTAAAACGTATCCTTGTAGAAGAGTATGTTTGACACACATCCCCTTGAAGTGTAGACGTTCTCCAAAAATAAAAACAAGTCAACCTTTTCGCATCCATTGTTTGAAGCGTCATTTAATGATCGATCCACGTGGCGTTGAAAAGATACCAGCATCTTACCACCAAAACCCGCCAAAACATCTTACGCCGACCAAAACCGATGAACATTATCTGAAATTTCCAATTGAGTAAAACAAATAAACGTGTCATTGTTAGCACATAGGCCTCAAAGCAGCTAACAGTGGCGAGCGTCATGACAGGAGAGCTACCTACATGAAAACGAGGAACAGATTTAAACTTGGCTAAATGAAAAACCCATCTTATTCTCAAACAACTCCACTTACTAGAAGCCCAACACACGAATCCAACCAAAGTATCTGTCCGGAAAATAGCGGCAAAAAATAGGTAAAAGAAACCAAAAGCCGTCGGCCAGTCCAGAGCTCCAGAGCAATAGAGGATGGCTAAAGCGGCGGCAGTGCTTCTTCTGCGCGGGGCTGTGGTGAGTGCGCTTTCGGTCCGTTTCGCCCCCGTGCGGTGAGAGTATGAGGGTACAACGATCTGAGGAAAGCCTTTCAAGGAAACATGTAAGGTTTTGTGCGTAACTTTTAACACAGCGCATGCCAACAGATAACTGGATAACCAATATTATTTTAATGCATAGAAATAATACGTAAAACAAGGTATATTGAGCGTCACGTGATTATTGCTGTGGTGCTTTCAGGTACCAATACACACCTTGCATTGAATGCTCTCGCTAGTTATTATGTTGTCTATTTATCTTTAGGCAGATGACCTAATCTGTAAATTAAATCAGCGTTTTTACACAAATGGTAATTAAGAAAATAACAAATTGTTGGATTTCTACAGCTGAGCTATGTTGCCCGCGCTGGCTCCACTCTGATCCACGCTGGAGCTCAGTCTATGGTTGGGGCGCAGCGGAGCCGAGCACCATTTCCTACAGCCTGATGGATCTGACGTCCGCTTATATCGTTGCCTGAGGTTTTCATTCGATTATCACTAAACTCAAGGATGGAAGGAGCTAGAAAGCAAGAGTATTTGATGAAGTAAGTAATAGTTTGTCTTATGTCATCATCCAATACTTTGTTACCTATATGACAGGACAAATGCTGAACCATAAGGTTTGTGAAGCCGGGTGCCGAGAATCGGCTAGCCTGACCACATGAACCATGTTAGCTCTTAAAATAGACAGGTGAGTACATGCATATCAAAGGACAGGCATTAGCAATACCTCGGGACCAAGATACGCTTTTATTTTCCGTGGATAACTATGCAGAATGGAGGAATGCTAAGCTAGCTGCTGCTGTGCAGTGAGTGGAAAGGCTATGTTGGGTTAGCCATCCGGGCTAATGCTAATCGAGCCTCTCGGTTCGCTGCTCGCGTGATAAAAGCACCAAATCCAGTGTACATCTGTTGTGTACGCGAGCAAAATTTTAGTAGGTGTCAGAATTTGGCACTCTTTGTTGCACTGCTGTATATTAACCAGACCTGTATACAGTCCCTAGCTTTGAGCTAAGGCCTTTAAAGATGGCACTCCAGTGCTTTTGTAAACGATCAAAGCTCGTTGTGTATAGCGTAGTTACCTAACATGTATGTTTGTTCACTGGATTGCCATTCCTAATGATAATAAGTAAGAACTTGGAGCTATGCGTTATGACCCCAGCACATACGAATCTAAAATAAAGATATTTTCCAGTGTACCAAAACAACGAGTTCTGAGGCCATGTTTTGGCTGCATTCACACACTGGCCATTTTGGTCATTCTCTTGAAGACTAGATTGCAGACAAATAATGTTACAGTTTTCTGAGTTGAGTCATTTGAATACACATTATGTATACAGGATAAGCCTCTGTTTTTTCACATACAGGCTTCAAGAGCCCCTGTTACTATAAGCCTGGGGAAAAGTGGCATTTGTATTGCTACTGCTGCAAACGTAATCACCACACGCTGTAGCCTGATAACACTGAGCGGGAAAGGCGGTTCCAGAGAACGGACCTAAATCTGTGTTATGCTAGTATACTGTATTGTGTCTGTTAATTTTGCACACATTATGTGATTACAGACTTGTTGATGATGAAACTTGCCTTACAGCCTTGATTCATGAGCCTGTCCTCTTTCTGATCAGGTGTGGCGTCATTTTGGAGTCCCACTTTCTCTGAGCTGGACTATTCATGGCCTCCAGACCCTCCAGGGCTTCCACTACTTGACTTGTTTCTCCATGGACGCTCTGTTCAAGTCAGAAATCAGGTATTTGATCTCAAACCATTTTCAGGACGAACATTTTTGTTTTCCAATATTGGTATGTTCCTTGCTGTGTATTTGATGTTAATGCACCATAACTGTACTGCCTAATTGCAATATGATCAAATGTCAGTGTGAATTTTGACAAATTGCTCAATATTTAAAGCTGATAAAGTGTGTGTTTCAGCACCTGAACTTACCCCATCTAGTACCTTATTTGTGTTTTGTTTTTCTATTTACTGCTTCTAGCTAGATGTCCTTGAGGAGATGGTGAATAGATAAAAGTTGTTCTGCAGATGGACCATATTGTTATTTGTATGCATTATTTGCCTCTCCATAATTTTTGACAAAAATACTCCTTCTTCCTGCTTGTTAGTTTGGCTTTTTTTCATTTCAAACATTTGAATATAGTTTGCATGGTATGCTTAAATGCTCATAATGCTTTTATAATTTAATTACTTTTTCCCTTCTTCCCTTCCCTTACCCTTTTCACCTAATGACTCCTTTTACTATACAGAACTTTTTTGCAATTTTTTAAAAATATTGTGCCTACAAGAGTTTTCTGTTTAATTCATTATTTTGAAATACACTTCATTTCAAAATTGTGAATTAATTGGGGTTATTGTGGCTTACTCAGGTAAACAATAACAGGTCATTAGAAAAGATGGAAATGTAATTATAATTAATTGGATGTTTTGTAGATAATTTTATAAAATACTGATTGTGAAGTCCTACGTCAGTGCAGCACATGTTGTCAGACTGATTGATTTTTTTTATTTTTTATCTTTCTTTCCCCTTTCCCTTCTCTTCTTATGGTTCTTTGATGTTCTATAATGAAAACACAGAGAAGAGGGAAGTGGTGCCCCAGTAAGTCAAATAAACAAAGTAGTGTACGTTCATTGGTTTTGCGTTTTTTTTTTATCAGTGGGTGTAACCCTCATGTTAGTTTTTTGAAGTGCAACTGTATTAGAGCTGTTTTTATCTCTCATTCTAGGTTAAGGTGGAGGGTCTCTCCAAGGCAGCCTTAATCAAAAGCCTGTCTCCTAGAGTCCTGTTGTACAACCATTTGTTGCCTAAAGGAACCAAGATGAAGGTCAACCTGGAAGATCAGAGTCGTCAGAAAGTGTCCTTCAGTTTCTCGCAGACCAAGAAGCCCCTGCAGAGTCTTTTCTTCATTTCGTCCAGCCCTGAAAAGTCTGGAGCGGATCCTGCTACCCCATCACACTCAGGCTCAGGGAAGGGGCATCATGCTGAGTCTAAAACTGAGCACAGGTCTGCTTCAACTGTGCAAAAAACAAGAACAAATGCCTCAAGTCCGTCTGCAGTTTCCCCAACTAAACTTAAAACAGACTTGTCAAAGACTCATTTTAAGAAGCATATCCTTAATGTCTCTGTGACTGATGAACAACCATTGTCCGTAGAAGGTGACTTGCAAAGTAATGTAAGATCTCCTCAGGCTGCAGAGGCTAACAGTGTCGCATCAGAGTCAAGAATTACCGCTATCCTCCAGACACTTGCTGCTGCCTCGGGAAAAGATGGCATCAGTTATAGCCGCTCAGAGTCTAACAGTAAGGGACATAAAAGCACATCCAGGACTCATTCAGACTGTGCCCCTCTCGGTTTTGAGTCGGATGGAGATTCAGGCCAGTCTTCCACTCGTAAATCATCTGACTCCAAAAGCCAATCAAGTTCAAGCAGTAGGCGAAAAGATGAAAAGAAACATTCTTCTAGTTCACACTCTGAGGAGAAAGAAAAAAGTTCCTCTAAGCGTGCAGACACATATGAACGGTCTTCTAGTCACTCTAAATCTGACCGTGACTCAAGATACACTTCATCACGTTCATCTCGCTCAGATCGCAGAAGGTCAAGGTCACGGTCACGCTCTCGATCACGGGGGTCTCGCACAAGTTCATCTCACTCCAGGCTGGACAGGTCCCGCGGGGACCGAAGCTCGCGCTCCGACCGGTCACATTATCATGAATCTGACAGGAGGTCCTATAGGAGCTCCCCACGTAGAGAGAGGAGGCGTTCCCACTCCCGCACTGAGAGAAATCGGGATAGCTCAGAGTCTGAAGACGACCGCAGGAAAGCTAGAACACGTACAGGTGAATCCAGTCGATCATCAGCCTATTCTAGTTCGCACAAAGAGTCTAGATCTTCCTCTCATGTAATGTCCACCTCTAAATCAGTGGACTCTTCTGAGTTTGACAAATCCCATCAGTCATCAAAATCGGAAAGGTCATCAAGACGCCTGTCAGACACAGATTCCCAGCACAGGGGCTCTTCTGTTACTGACCATCATAAATCCAGCTCAGGTCACAAGTCAGAGACGAATAGTAAATTGAGTTCGCCCAGAGCATACGCACACTCTCATTCATCAGAGAAACATCAGAAACATGACTCTGAAAGAGAGAAATCACACACATCTGATAAGCGCTCGCGTTCAGATGAATACTCAAAAAATTCACATAAAACAAGTAAATCTGACTCCAAACATTCAGGCTCTTCTGTATCTTCTCATCATGAAGACTCATATAGGACACAGGACCGAAAAACAAATGACACGTTTTACAGCCCACAGAAAGCATCATCTGTCTCCACTGTAGAATCATGTCCAGAAAGTGAAGAAAGACATGAGCAAACGAGCCACAAAATCAAAAAGACAAGTTCAAGGGAAACAAATGACTCCAAATGGACAGAGCATGAAAAGAGGGCAGAAATAAGACATACTTCTTTAGATGTAAATGAAAAGTTGAATAAAGTTGATATTGTTGTTGAAACAAATAAGAAAGCCTGCAGTGATCAGACAGCAATGTCAAACCGAATACCAACATCATGTGAAAGTATTGATGTAATGTGCAATAGAGATTCAGTTGACCATTCACCAGAATTGTTACTCAAACCATCCAGTGTCCCACATGAGATCCAAAACTCAGTAAACGAGGAAACTCAAAAAACAGAAATGGTAGCTAGAACTTCAGTGACAAGTAACCACCCTGATTATGTATCTCAGACCCCCAACTTATTGTTTTTAGACTCTGAACATCACACATGTAAAGAAATGGGTGATGCTGTTAAAAAGAGCAGCATAGTGAACAGAAAGTCTCGGTGGGATATTGTTGGGCAGAATGCAGAAGATCATTCCAATACCATTCACAGTTCAGAGACGAAACCTGACAAACCTGACATGAAAATGGATGTCTCAGAAGATGGTGGCAAACCAGACACTGAAACAAAGGAGAACAAGCGTGTAGAGGCAGGAGTGCATTTTATAACAAAGGACCAGGTGCTTGACTCGGACAGAGCCCGCATCTCTAATATCTGTAAGCATCAAAGTGCATTGGCAGAGGCCGGTCTCGACACAAACCCAAGTGAACAAGTGACAAAGACGCTTTTTTCAAATGATGAAAACACAATGGTGAATGCCAGCAAGAGCAGGCATCCACAGTTGAATTTACTGATGGGCCACAGTGGGGCCAGTGACAGTGACAACTCTGAGTATGACTCTGATTGTGGCGAGGCGATTAAGCGCCTTCACTCTGTGGTAGTGGTGATGCCAAAACATTCCCTCCCACAGGGTGGTGAAGACACCACAGGGCAAAATAGTGCTAGTGATAGTTTTGCAGCTGAAAAATTAATCAATTCCCAACTAATTCAGGGGCAGGATCCAGCCCATAGTGCCATGTGCCAGTCCCAAAGTAATATGATTGATAGCACCAGTCACTCTGAGAGCTCCCAGCAGACTTTGACTGCACACATGCCAGCAATAGAAAATAGCAGTCTTGTCAATTCATTGGGTCAGCAGGGATACCAACAATATGTTAGTAGTGGAAATGAAATTCCCTTATTACAATATAAACAAGATAATCTCTCCAGTGCAAATAGATTCAGTGATAAGAATGGATACAATCTTCTTTGGAGCTACGCTCAAGCTGAGCAACCCAGTAGTACTTGCCCACAGCCTGACAGCAGTCATGGGATACAGGTGATGGATGGTAGATTGACAGGAACACTCTCCTATTCACAATTACAAAGCAGTGAGACTGTTACTGATCCTCCCACTGCTGCACAAATTCGTCAGGACTCAAATGAAATTCACCCAGACTCTCTCACCAATGACCATGGTGTCTACAGTGGTGGAAAGTCAGCAGCTGAATCCAGTGGGTCTATTCTTTGTCAGGGATTTGTACAAGGTCATGAAATAAGTAGTAACAGCAAAGGTCCAGCAACAACAGAGTCTGCCAAAGAGGATAGTTTTAAGTCGCTTAGATCCAGGGGGCCACCAAAGAAAAGGCGTCCCGAATTGGAATCCGACTCGGATAATGAGGCTGAAGCAGGACCTACGAGTAAAAAGGAGCGGCGCGGAGACACTGTGAAGGATATACCAGTCAAAACCGAGGTGCAGCTTCCATTGCTCAAGTTACGGGACTTTCAAGATGCTGCAAAGTGGAAAGACCTGGCGAAGTCTAAGAAGATGCCACCATATTTTGACTTGATAGAAGAAAACCTATATCTTACTGAGAGGTCAGTTAATATTCAACAAGTTCATCATCTCAGGTAATTTCTACAAAGATTTACATAAATTATTCTTTTAATATATTTGCAGAAAGAAAAGCAAATCCCATAGAGATATCAAAAGGATGCAATGTGAGTGTCCAATGTTGTCCAGAGAGGAGCGCTCAAAGGGAGTGATGGCATGTGGAGAGGACTGCTTAAATCGTCTTCTCATGATTGAATGGTATTTTAAATTCTATGTTAAATAATTAGAAAGATTACAGACATAATTTCTTGCCAATTTTGTACTGTTGGGCAGTTGTTCATTTTTTAAAAACATTTCTTTTCAGTTCATCTCGGTGCCTAAATGGAGTCTACTGCTCTAATCGTCGTTTTCAGATGAAGCAACATGCAGATTTTGAGGTCATTCTTACTGAGGACAAAGGTTGGGGTCTACGAGCTGCTAGAGACCTGCCAGCGTATGTTTTTCATCACAATGTTTAAATATTAAATAAATCATGCAGCATAATTGAATCAAATGTTGTGCTCATTGTTCCAGAAATACATTTGTCTTGGAGTACTGTGGGGAGGTGTTGGACCATAAAGAGTTTAAGGCCAGAGTGAAGGAATATGCCCGCATGAAGAACATTCACTACTACTTTATGTCTTTGAAGAATAATGAGGTAAGTCTGGACATAATGTATGCATTGATAAAGGATTTATGATCTGTTTGGAGCATTTAATATAATTTAATGGTTTTTTTTTCCTAGATTATTGATGCAACTCTGAAGGGTAACTGTTCCCGCTTCATGAATCACAGCTGTGAACCAAACTGTGAAACACAGAAGGTGCAGTGGCCAAAAAAAAAAAAAAATATATATATATATATATATATATATATATATTATTTTTTTTTGTATATATATATGTATATATAGAGACATAGAGATCTGTATCCCATTTCTGTTTTAAAACTAAAATGTTTTTTTTTTTCTCCAGTGGACAGTGAATGGACAACTTCGTGTTGGTTTCTTCACCACTAAGGCAGTTACAGAAGGCACAGAGCTGACCTTTGATTATCAGTTCCAGAGATATGGGTACTCAGAATATTAATTACACTATTAAGAAATTAATAAGGAAATGTTTGTTAATTTTGGAGTTTGTCTTTTCCACTGTCTTTTAGCAAAGAAGCCCAGAAATGCTACTGTGGAGCCCCCAGCTGCAGAGGCTTCCTTGGAGGGGAAAACCGTGTGAGTGTTCGCGCAGCTGGAGGGAGGATGAAGAAAGATCGCAACCGTAAAAGTGCTCTCACTACGGTCAGTTTTTTTTATAAATAAATAAAAATTCCTTAAGATTTTGCTTTTCAAACTAAATTTAAAAAAATTTAATTATCCACATATAATATCTTAAAATGACCACCCATTATATACAGTATGTAGTAATAATGTACTTTTGTGTATGTTCCAGGTTGATGAAGAGCTGGAGGCGTTACTGGACAATGGAGAAGGCCTGTATGATGAAAAGCAGGTGGTGGCTCTGTGCAGGCTGATGGTCCGAGTGGAAACTATGGAGCAGAAACTCCTTTGTCTCAAATTGATTCAGGTACGGTGCAGTCTGACAGCTGGAGTGACTGAGGTTATGTTTATCTCAGTCTAATGTTCTGAACCCTTGTTTTACAGGACACTCAAAACCCATCGTGCCTCAAACAGTTTCTGGATCACCACGGCCTGTCTCTGCTCTGGATCTTTATGGTTGAACTGTCTGAAGCAAAAGGCAACAGTGCCAACAACATCAAGCTGCAGTTAGAGGTGAGTTAGTGTATTTAAGTTACCAAAGTTAAATGATTATTACTGAAAGGTGTATACAGCTTAAAATGTTTATTCGCTTGTTTTTAACTAAATTTTAACTGCTCTACAGAATTAATTTGTAAATGCCAAAACTGTAAAACTCCAGTAAATTTGTCATATTTTTTTTGTTATTGGGAACTATTTATTGTATGTTAAGTCTTCAATTTAAGAAGATGACTATTTATATTTACAATTATTTTTATTTTTGCAGATTTTGAAAACTTTGGCTGTGCTGCCAATTTCAACTAAGAACATGTTAGAGGAGAGTAAAGTGTTGACTCTGATTCAGCGCTGGGCACAGACCTGCCCTCAGCCCGCAGAGAACGACGGCTACTCCAGTGAAAACACATCCCGAGCTCAAACTCCACTCAACACTCCAGACGGCTCCAACCCAAGAGCAGGAGCTGAAATGGACCACGACTCTGCCAAACCTTCTGTGTTTCGCCGCCTTAAAATCATCAGTGAAAATAGTTTGGACAGTGCCATGTCTGATGCCAGCAAAGCATCGGATGGGAAAGAAGATGATGAGGATGATGACGAAGAAGATGATGAGTCTTCACGTGCAGGGCTGTCTGTACAAGAGAGCAAACCTGAACCAGAGGCAGAGACTGAAGAACCAACAAAAGAACACGAGAACAACGTCAAAGAGGAGAAGGAGGAGTTGTCAAATGAGAACTTAGATATTCAAGATGAGTCCAAACCCAGTAATGACCAAGAGCACACTGAGATGGTGTTGGAGATGGAGGAGGAGGTCAAAGAGGACACGAGTGAGGTTCTTAAGGAGGAAAGTGGTGACATAAAAGGCCCACATGAAAAGGAAACAGAACAGGGTGAACGTGAACCAATAGCTCAAGTCTCTACAGAGGCGCCTGAGCAGGTGGCAGGGCAAGACTTTGTCCAACATGAGGAGCCCCAGAGTCAGGTGTCCGAGGGAGATGAGCCTACCCCAACTGCACTTGCCCCAACTGAGCCTGCCCCAGTTACACCTGCCTCAACTGAGACTGCCCAGACTGAACCTGCCCAAAGTGAACCTGCCCAAACTGAGCCTGTCCTATCTGAACCTGTCCTGACTACACCTGTTCCAGCTGATTGTGCCCCAACTGATTTTGCTCCTTTTCAACCTGCTCAAACTGAATCTGTCCCCACTGTACCTGTCCCCACTCCATCTATCCCAACTGAACCTGCTCCAACTGAACCTGCCCCACCTTCATTTGTCCCAAGTGAACCTGTCCAAACCAATTCTACCCCAACTGGGCCTGACCCAACTGTATCTGATCCTGCAACCTCCGAGCCTGCTCCAGAGCCAATGGAGGTGCAGGTGGAGGCACAGGCAGAGGTACTAGACTCTGAGAAGGCAAACACTGATCAAAACACTTATCAGCCAAATGATTGTGCTGCTGCTGATATGGTGGTGAGCTCTGAAGTCCCTGAAGTGAGCGTCCCATCAGCGGCCGCCTCAGTGGAGCCCTCTGTTGTTGGGACGCCCTCACAGGACGATGACGAGGGTCTCTCTGATGTAGAGAGTGAGAGGAGCCAGGAGCCTCAGCTCAGCTCCATGGACATCAGCGGCATGGCAGCCCGGCTTCTGGAGAGCTGGAAAGATCTAAAGGTTTGTTAAAACTGGGTCAGGCCACACGCATATCTTCACAATATGTTGATTTTATTTTAATTTTTTTTTTAAACTTAAAATAATTATTTACAGGAGGTGTACAGAATACCTAAGAAGAGCCAAGTGGAAAAAGAAGGCAAGACATCTGATAGTATTTCAGTAGCATTTTAATATTAGTGTTTATTTCAGACATTAAATTGTATTTTCTTAACAGATCGCAGTAGGGATCGGGACACAGCTCGTCCAGCTTCAGGGAGCCGAGAGAGGGACAGAGAGAGGGAGCGAGATAAGGAGCGTGAAAGAGAGAGAGAGTATGAGCGTGACCGTGAAAGAGAGAGAGACAGAACACCGCGCAGCAGCGAAAGACGCAGGCGGCGCTCACTCTCTCCTCCCTCATCTTATGAACGCACCAGCCGCCGCACTGAAGAGAGGTAAGCAATAATGTCCACTCAGCACAGGCCATACTCAGCACATCAGCTCTTGCTATTATATAATTTTCACCTTTTTTCAGGTTTGACAATGTCAACAGCAAGACTCCAAGGAGTGTTGGAGGAAAGGAGAGAAACAAGCTGTCGACAGAGGAGCGCAGGAAACTCTTTGAGCAGGAAGTGGCTCAGCGCGAGGCTCAAAAGCAGCAGCAGCTTCAGCAGCAACAGCAGCAGCAGCTGCAGAGTCTGGGCTATGACCCGGCCCTGGCTTATGCCTCTACCGCCGGCTTTATCACATATCCCTCTGGATATCCTGTCCAGGCCTTTGTAGATCCAACCAATCCCAATGCAGGCAAAGTGCTGCTCCCCACCCCTCCAGTGGATGGAGCCCTGACCTATGAACAGACACCTCCTCTGGGACTGTCCTCTCCATCCTCCACTCCTCAGGCTACTCCAGTGTCTAGTATCCCACAGATCAGCACAGAGCCCCTCCCCCCTGGGACCTCTCAGCCATACGCCCAGCCCACTGTAGCTCCTCCAGACACTGGGGTGGCTGTTCTTTCTGTGCCTGCCCCTGCGGCACCTCCTGTGCAGGGCCAGAGCTACACTACTCTGTGGGACCCCAGCACACAGCAAACAGTCACAGTGCAAACTGCAGCTCAACAGTACACTACTGCACCAGCTCAGCCTCAGCCACAGACTGCTATATACTACCAGGGCCAGCCCTGTCCTACCATCTACAGCATCCCCACTGCCTACCCACAAGGCAGTGCTCCTGTCATACAGGTGTGGACTTTTGACATATCACTTTTAGTTAAACCTCTAAGTCATGTAATCAGTATTAAAATCATCATTACCATTCACTTGTTTTTTTTATGAAGGCTTATACTGATCCTACGGGCAACTACCTGCACAGTCAGCCTGTCTATCCTGGCCAGCAAGGGGTGGTAGTGCAGCAAGGAGGCACTGTCACTACTATTGTCACCTCCCAAACTCAGGTAATACACACAGCTCTCCATTTTTCATTCATAGCATGGAAGGTTTATACCTCAGCACTGTATGTTTAACCCTTTCTCATTTTCATGGTGTCCTGTTTACTCACTAGGAGTTAATTGTACCAAACAACATCGTAGACCTGCCTCCACCCTCTCCCCCCAAACCCAAAACTATTGTTCTACCTCCAAACTGGAAAGTGGCTAGAGACCCAGAGGGAAAAATCTACTACTACCACATTGTCACAAGGTATGCTATTTGTTGTTATTATGGGATTGGACCCTATTTTTTAATTTAATCTCACATCTGACTAAATTAATACTATCATTAATATAATAATATTATTATAATAATATTAATAAGATGAATTTACTTTTTTCTTTTTAGGCAAACACAGTGGGATCCTCCGACCTGGGATGGGACAACTGATGCCACTACCATGGAGCACGAGTCTGAAATGGACTTGGGAACTCCCACCTATGATGAAAATCCATCCAAGGTTGGCTATTAATAATTACAAATTAAACATTTTATCCTTTCCCTTTTAAATGGCACCAGTGGTATTTTCTAGTATGTCTTTATGTGATAAGTACTCAATTACATATGTTGTCCTTTTTCCAGTTTTCAACAAAGACCGCTGAAGCTGACACATCCAGTGAATTGGCCAAAAAGAGTAAAGAGTCATTCCGTAAAGAGGTGAGCTGTGCTGTTTTTACTGTAATAAAATGTTTACAAGAGTCTCAAATGTATCCTGCTCTTGTGTAATACTGTGTGTGTTATGCTCATTAGATGTCCCAGTTCATTGTACATTGTTTAAATCCTTATCGGAAGCCTGACTGCAAACTGGGACGCATCGTCAACACAGAGGACTTCAAACACCTGGCGAGAAAAGTAAGTGTTCTCTGTATGAAGGATTGGATGAGCCAAACACACTCATTTCCTTTTAATAGACATGTCCTTGGGCAAAGATGTTGTGTGGGAGGAGGAGTGACATACCAGAACAGTGAAGACATGCTCCCAATTAACTGACCCTGTGAGCTTAATGTATGCACTTTATTGGCTAAATGATAGGACACAAGCTGCTAAAAGGAACTGAGCCAAATTGTAACTACTGAGCCATATGTTGAAGAAAAATCTAATCATGATCTGATCCATTTAGCAATTTGCTATTTTGTTAACAGCGTAACATTTGGATTAAAGGTCCTATATTATGCAGAATTGACTCTTGTGAGTTTTAAGCCATTTTATAATATGGTTACCTCATCAAAAACATACATGGAGTTGTGTTTTGTTTCATTCACATGTTTGAGTAATCCTTTATTAGTCTGTCTACATCTCCAAAGCTCAGAATGCTCTGTACCACCTTGTGATGTCATGAAGCAGTAACTTAGAAGTTTTAGTGAAGGTATATGGAGTGTAAAATCACTCCGTTTCCCTAAATCTACCGTATTTTCCGGGCTATTAGGCGCTCTGGATTATAAGGCGCACTGTCATTAAATGGTCTATTTTCGAACTTTTTTTTACAAATAAACCTCACCGGACTTTAAAGGAAACACAACAGTTAGATGGGTCAGTCGGACTTTGTTTGTGGCGTTCACTGTGACTTTTGGCTTTGTTTAATTGTGGCGTGTAGGGAGGGTACTGTCTGGGACCGCTGGATTGTTGGAGTGTTCGCAGTGACTTAGTTGTTCAGTTGTTCAGTTGTGGATAGAAGTGGCACTTTTTTTGGATCATTCCTCCGTTCCATTCCTCATCCGCATGGAGTGATGAGTGTGGCTGCAGGTGTATTTTGCTGCGCGGTCGCTGTCTGCTCTGTGCGTGCTTGCATGCGCTGCGGGTGGTGCAGCTTTGTAGTTTACTGAAGGCGTGCTGGGACACCCGAGTGGATTTGTGTATATGGCGCTCTGGATTGCGGGGTACGCAGTCGTTTTTTGATGGAGTTGGGGGCTTAAGAGCGCACCTAATAGCCCAGAAAATACGGTAAGTCTGCACAGTGAAGTAGGGCATAACCAAGGAGAAATATTGCATAAAAACACATTGTGAAATTTTCCTACTATTCCTACTGTGAATTAGGCAAAAAATTGTACTGTGATATTTTTTGCTGTGTCACCCAACACTTTTGTTTCGTCTGTGCAATGTCCTGATGTGAGTTGATGGCCAACATGGTAATGCCATAAATCACAATGTAACTGTCTTGTTCAATCTCTTCATAGTTAACTCATGGGGTAATGAACAAGGAACTAAAAGCGTGCAAGAATCCTGAGGACCTCGAGTGTAACGAGAATGTGAAGCACAAGACCAAGGAGTACATAAAGAAGTACATGCAGAGGTTTGGCTCAGTCTATCGGCCCAAGGAGGACACCGAGGTGTACTAGACACTAGAGACAAGCCTCAAACTCCAAACTGTGAGCCAGAAATGCTAAATATTTTATCGTCACTAAATATTGCACTGCTGCTGTTAAGCTCTGTGGGTTTTCAAAGACTGAGTGAGACCCTTGGGTGGAGGAGCAGCATCCGCAATGGGTGACACTGACAGGTGCTACATAGACTTTCAAAGACTGTTTTAGCATTTATTTTTTTCATGTATGGCTCTTAAAAAGGAGGATCTCCTCCATTCCATTTTAACCCTGTCCAGCCCAAAATAAGATTGGTTAACCCAGGGGTGTCGGAATGGTGGTGGTAAAGGGCACTTCTTTGCCTGGGCCCTAGTGCTGGGAGGTGCCAACAAAAAACATGTAATGTGCATTTAATTATTGCGTGCCCACCAATGTTTTGTACTAAGAGCCCAGACTTTGTGCTACAGCCCTGGGTTAAACTTTTTCCATTGGAGCACTCTTGGATCTCCTGGCTCTTTATCTGGTGCTGCTTTTAACTGGGCCGTGGAGGTCCAGACTTCCACAGGTGAACCCCTGCCTTCTTATCCACTCCTCTGTGGTGGAGTTGTCCTTATTTTATGAATGCATTATATACTGGATAAAACAACTATTTTACATAAGTTAAAATTAATTAAATTGAGATTTTTTATTTGAGTAGGCTAAATTTTGATAAGTCACCTGCCAATAGCATAAGTAATTTTTCCTTTTTCTTAAGTGCATCACAATATTTGTTCTCCTCTTAAAGGTGCACTGCGCAACTTTTCTAATGGGGGTTCACCGCCTGCTTATCTCCATGGAGATACTATTGAAGTGCTTGAAATGTTGCACTGTATGGCAGTAAACTTCTGTCCTGCGTTTATTCAATTACAGGTGCATTTATTGCTAAAAAAAAAAAAAAAATGCAATGAAAATATGCATTCTAACTGTGATCTGCCTGTCATACAATTATATAAATTTAACGCAACATTCCAGGCAACACAATGACATGGAGACAAGCACACTAAGGTTACACACGGCATCTTTAGGCTGAATATGACTTGTTTCATTGGTGTTTTCATTTTCTCTAGCTGGTCAAAATGTACTTCATTCAAGATGGATTCATTCAGGCCATGATAACATATTGGTCACTTGTGCAGGTGGAGTTTTCCAGGCGTCTTCAAATCTCTCCTTGCTGTCAGATTTTACGTGTGTAGGGATCAGTTGTCCACCAGAGTGTCTTTTATCTGTTTGTAAAATAACAGTTACTTAACGTGCCGTCATATAATTTGACACTTTCTTTCTTCCAAAATCTACGTAGATTCCTCTTGTAAGATGGACAGGTTTAGGGTGTGATCTAAGCAATGCAGTTTTAACAGTTTGTGAACACCCTCTGTATTCTCTACACTTTCAGTTTTTACAAGAGCTAGGCTGAGGTTAAAGGCTGGCTATCGACATAAATTATACTTAGATCAATTCAAACTAACTTTATTGTTCTCAGTTCAACACCATTAAGTCAGTGCAGTTGAAAAAATGCATTAATGTTTTTCCAATGTGTACATTTGTTATGTGAATATATTGAAAAATAAGTTTTGGAAATGCTAAAAAGTAGCAGTCACTTTGTAAGGACTATCATTTCATGGTTAATAATGTAAATAGTGATAATGTAAAGTTACCAAAGCTGTACACGAGAGGGCGCTCTTCTCACCAGCTCAGCTCCTGATGCAGTCCACTCACTGAACCCCACAGCCTCACAGCTCTTTGTTTTATTTCAGCTATAATGGGGGAAATTTTTTATGTTGTTTTGTTAATTTCTTTTGTACAAAATATGTTTCACCCTGTTCTACTGTAATTATTGCGTAAGCACATTGTCATAATGCGTGTACAAACATTTTAAAGATAATAAACCTTTTTGTAAACATATTCTTCCTTGATGAATTATTGGAAACGTGGCAGTACCTGAAATACTGCATAAAAACTGTGATATGATTAACAATCACCCAACCTATTTGAGAAAATGTATCTCCTCTGTAAGCAGGTGTGAATATAAGTTACATTTTACTTGAGTAGAAAACATTTTGAAACTCTGCAGGCTTCATTGTAGTACTTTTATAAGATTTTTTTTCTTGTAGGCCTACCTGAGCAATGGTTAATTGGTTTGAGGTAGCTGTATTGTCATTTGAGTAAAAGGTTGTTAATTTTATGATGATAATATTACAGCAAACTTATTTGAACAAATGTTTGCACCTTGCCTAATATGTTTCTAAGTTATATTGAATTTATTGTTAATATCCGCACTTGTGTATTTACTTTAGTTCCTTAGGTCACCTGAATCTGACTTCTTAGATCTTAGTCTTAGATCTAAACAGTCATAGCCTATTATACCTGGTGAAGTCCTAATAGTAGGCTTCTTTTTTGCCAACAAGTGATTAATTTGGTCGATAATATTAATATACTTGTAGGCTACTTATGTCTTCTTCAATAGTTTTGGGACTTTAGATCTACACAAAAATGCAGGCCACTCAAGAAAGAATATTTTACCCATCTCTGTTAATGACTCCGCACAAGGCACAGTCTGCGCAGCACATACGCAGTGTTGAACCAGATGTTCCCAAATCAAAGTGATCTACTGCGTTCATTAGAGCTGTTGTGTGAAGAGGCGCTGCTCCTCCTCCTCCTCCCCCCGCTGTACCCTCCCCCCGTGTGCGCGCATTCCTCAGCCCCATGCGCTGTGCGATCCAAACCGCACTTTAAGCAGTCCCGTCTGGAGAGTGTGACTGCATCCAGCGCTCCTCGCCCCGGGCTCTGCAAAGCGCCTGCTCCCACTTAAAATCCACAAGCACAAAGATCATCAACAGATCTGTGCGAGACAAAGACGAGCGCGACTGGACGGTCAATAGTCCCCAAAAAAGTAGGCCTACATAATGTGGCCTAAATTTGGAATACAATTTTGAAAACGCCTTATTACAAACGCAACTCGACTCTAGAATTTATCTGTCCATTTGTATCATCCTTATTAGTAAGACGCGTACTCTTTTTAGTCATGTTTTTCATATAGACAGACTCAACTTGTACATCGTTTTGCATTAAATGTGGAATTAAATTTACGGTAGAAATGTTATGTTTTTCAAGTTTTCTGCAATAATGCAACATAACAGATAGGCTACCCTTGATTTCATTTGATCTAAAGTTGAAATGGTTGCCACAAGGTTTTAAATTCAGTAATTAATCAATTACCCTCAACTTTAAAATACACAAAATGAAAATTTCAGACAGAACTGTGCATGCTGGATCTTTTTCTTTTTGTCGTCTTTATTAGATACAAAAATAGGTGTAAATACATGAACTGTGTGTTAAATGTGACAGACAAATACTGTTTACTTACTTGTGCACGCACACATCAGGGACAAACAAAACAAGTCACATTCATATTTAATATGTTTACAAAGAGCTATTCATATATTTATCACGCGCCAATGTAGCTGAATAACTGTGAAATGTTTCAAAGCAAACATCAATGCAGTAAAATGGTTTGGATGATTCTAATTTATACAAAACAGAAACTTTAAGGTGTACTGTGTCACTTCTCAGGTGGAGGGATCTCTCACCTTCTTCTCTCCACATGGATGTTATTGCTTTTCCTGGAATGTTCCACAGTTTGGCATTAAATTTATCTATCTTCATAAACAACCAGATGACACATCCATACTGTATGTTATCCTTCACAGTAAGAATACATGTTTGTGATGCATTGTTGAGCTATTAACACAACTGTTATTAAATAAATGCATAGTAATATGTTTAATGTGATATTGTAGAACATTCCAGACAAATCAATAACATCTCCAGAGAGACAAGCAAGCAGCGGACCCTCGCAACCAGACAAATTACACTGTGCGTCTTCAGTCTTTTTTTGACTGTGCTTCTCTCAAATATCATAGCAGTTTGTAGAAATGCAAAGACAGTACCATTGAACAAAGAGAATTTGGAAAATAAAACTGTTCCATAGTGGTTTGGGTTGTGGCTCGTTAAACAAGGCCATTTCGAGGGTTACAAAGCACACGGACAGCAGGCAGGAACTAAAACTGATTACTGTTAAAATCACATACAAACTGAATCGCACTTGTGTGAATTATCTGTTTCTTCAGTGTTATGGGCACAGAGAATGCTCCACTGACTCATACAAGGTCCTCAGCTGTTTTCAGACGAGACAAGAGAATGTTCTCCACCGCAGCGCTGTCGAGTTCTCCACCGCAGCGCTGTCGAGTTCAAGCAGCATGAGTCTGACTTGTTTAAACTGTATTTCCTTTACAGCTTGTTTGTCCATTCAAAGGTGTTGTGTTTTAGTGACAGGTAAAGCGGCTCCTGTCAGTGCAGTTCAGTCTCTGCGCTCTCTCTCGCTCTAGACCAGGGTTTCTGGTCTAAACTGTGGTACAGCTAGTCATACGCAGGCTCCCTTTGGTGGTACACAGGGTCCTCTACAGTATTTTATTTAGAGATAAATCTATAAAAGCTTTTCTCCTCCTTTTGGTTAATCATTTTAGACCTGATTAAGCCCTAATTCAGACCTGATGAAGTCCATGTTTAGATCTGGTGGTACTCAGAGGGCCAACTATGATCTCAGGTGGGAGTTGTGTGAAAAGTTTGAGGAGCACGGCGTTAGACCACAGAGACTCCCTGCGAAGGCGTCATCAGTGCGGTCATCACATCCGCCCGTTCGATCCGGGCCAAAGCCGAGCTCAGGAGTCCCAGTGTGGAGCCCTCCTTCTGGGCCCAGTTGGAGAGGAGCGTGTGGGCAGGCGCTTCTCCTCGTCCAAACAGCTCCAGTTGGTCACTCTCGTAGCCCAGGGCCACCCCCAGCTCCCTCCAGCCGGGCCCTCCCTCCTGCAGCATGCTCTCTAGCTCCTCCTGTCTGTGCGGGGGAAGGTTCACGTACAGTCGGTTGTCCAGTTTGCTGTCCCTCTTCGTGCCTGGTTGACAGAAGAAAATGTTCAGGAAATTTCACTTCAGAAAAAAAAAAGAATCACATGCATATCCTATTTAGCGTGGGTCCGTGTACCATTCTTTGTTTTGAATTTCAATTAAGAACGGAAAACAATAAAATGGGAAAACAATTTGTTATTTCATTATTCTGTTTTAGTGTCAAACAAAAAAAAAAAAAAAGATTTCGATCTCTATTTCTAATATTTAATTTAAAGTTTATTTTGACACCTGTCTCTTGCTATCTTTTTTGCTATTTATTTAGAATTAATTATTATTTTGAATTTATTATTACAATTTATATTTTTTACTCTTTGTTATTATATTGTGATGTGTGAGCTACTTTGTCCAAATAATTTCCCTTGTGGATCATTAAAGTTTGTCTAAGTCTAAGTCTAAAGTTTATTTCAAATAAACGCCAATCAAAATGTATCATTAAGACTATTTGGTCTGTGTGTTATTTGTTCTGTTGAATTTCAGTTAAATACGAAATATAGTAAAATCTGGAAACAGTTTGTTATTTCATTATTACATTTTAGTGTCAAACAAAAAAACAGATTTCGACCTCTATTTCCAGTATTTCATTTAAAGATTAAAGTCTCTGTGACTATTTTAATTTTGATATGTTATTCTCTCTGGTTTATTTGTCCTGGAAGTTCTGCTGCTCAACCATGGATTTATAATTAAAAGCTATTTTTATTATAGTTCTATGGTGTCAACTGAATAAAGTTTATCACTGCTACTAGTTTCTTGTCATGGAGTTCAACAATTACTTTTTAAGACGCAAATGTAAACACGTCGCTATAAAAGAAGACGACATGTTTGTCCACAAAATCGCAAAAATGTTTCAAGTAAGTCCTTCTAACAGAACTTCAGGGTTAAATAAACCAGAGAGAATAAAATATCAAATTTAAAATAGGCACCGAGACTATACGAGAATAAACGTTAAATTAAATATTGGAAATAGAGGTCGAAATCTGTTGGTTTTTTTTGTTTGACACTAAAACGGGATAATGAAATAACAAACTGTTTTCCCATTTTATTGTTTTTCGTTCTTATCTGAAATACAAAAGAACGATTGGTACACGGACCAGTGTGATCACATTTGTTTAAATTTGTGATTTTGTCCAAATACAAGTTCTTTCCTAAACAGTTGATGAATGAGTCTTCATCTGTCAGTAGTACTATACGACTACATAGTAATTTGTGAAACTGCTCATATTTTGTGTTGAAATTTAGCTATTCAATAAAAAGAGGCTTTATTATTACAATGGTATTGAAATCACTGGTCAAGTTTGAAATGTTTGTATTGTGAAAAAACTACTACATAACTATTCTCTGCCCATTGTCCTGTAGTCTTGTCTCACCTTTGCTGGGCAGGTTGTCCATGATGCTGTGCGAATCTAGAAACACTCCACTGTCACTCTGCAGCTTCTCTGCTTCTGTGGACGTCCCCATCTCTGCAGCGCGGGCTTTAGTCAGGGCCTTCTTCTGCTTACAGGTTCTCCAGCTGCACACACAGGATAAAATAGAGTTAGATGCATTAAAAACATACAGGTAAAACACAATAATGGAAATTACTTAGACACAGTAGCTCAAAAAATATAAATATAAAATAATGTAAAAATCATAGTAGCAAAGTGCAAATAGAGTATTGTAGTATAGGACCAAACCAAACTTACAAGAAAATATAAACAAGAATATTTAAACTCATTTATGCTACTGACACAATAACCTTAAAGCAGGATTTTACCCCAAAAAATATGGTTAAAAAAAACACAAACTGCAATAAATAAATAGAAGAATGAAATACTTTAGTAGTTATTGGATGTATAAGTCATAGAAGTTATTTATTTAACCCTCTACAGCTTATATCTTATCGTAGTACAGAAAAATAGTTTATTGTAATTATTGTGACAGGCCTACTTGGACCAAACGCAATTTAAGAATTGATCTGCTTTTCTGTGTGATAAATAAGGCTTCAAAAATAGGCACTAAAATAAGAAGAATTAAAAAAAACTTTGAATAAACATAAGAGTAGAAAATTTAGATAAAATGCAATACAATCTACTTTTAGCAAACACTATCGGGCTACAGAAGTGACTGTGGATATGTACACTACAACATATGGCCAACAGCAGTGTTCACTGCAAAAGAAAGGGAGGAAAAAAAAGACTGACGAGAGGAAGAAGAAGAAGACTAATGAACTTCTAAGGAATGTACTGATAACTCACCATTTATACGCCACGTAGACCAGCAGCCCCAGCACCACAGCGGCCAGCACGGACACATACACCAGAATGTTATTGCTGCTGTTGCTCTCCTCTTGAGGGGTGAACTTAGGCGACCCGGGGGCTTGGCTGACATCCTCCTCATCAATAACTTCATTCAAATTCGGCCTCCGGGGGGCATCGGACTCAGGGCGGGACAGAATGTGCAATTTTCTGTCTGTAAAGATAAAGCAAAGGATATTTTAAGGTCATAAATTTTAAGGTCATAAATGTGGTCATTGTAATCACAGTGAAGGAGCAAAAGATGAATGACCTTACATCTTATCTCAATCATTAAAGGTGCTATATTATTACACAAAATGGATTCTTGTGAGCTTTAAACCATAAAAACATATCCAGAGTTGTGTTGTTGTTTTTTTTATTCACACATTTGAGTAACAGTAATAATAATAATAACATAATATAATATAAATGCTTTGTTCCTCATGAAGCAGTAGTTTTCTTTAGTTTAGCAGAGATTGACAAATCCAGGGCTGAAATCATCCAAGTAATTCCAGTGAAGGTGTATGGAGTTAAAAAAACAAAACAAAAACAAAACAGTGGAGCACTTTCTGTATTACCACATGACATCACAAGGTGGAACAGATTGTTTTCTGTCTGAAAGAAGAACTCAGCCTTAATATGTAGGGTTTGTCTGTTAAACATGTGTAAATGAAACAAAAACCCAACATTACATTTTGGTGTCTTTGTATAATATAGATTAGAAATTATGTAAAATGGCATAACTATAACAATAACTATATGAAATATTTTATTTTTACATTTATCATCTGTACATTTTATTTGCATCATATATTTTTATAGCATGTTACTCTGTTAATACTGGTATGTTATTTGAGTGTTGAAAAAATATATATATTTTTTTACCTAACTACTAGAAAGGTGTTTTAAATCATATGTAAGTGTTATTGGGCCAGACTCAGTAGCATGAAGCAGATCCCCTGTTATTGTTAATGATAATATTTTCTGTAGAAATATGTAAATTTTCAAAAAATGACTACAGCACGACTTATTGAAGCCAAGAATATCAACTAATAAATCAGGATCTAGTAATACACTGAAGACCAAATCTCTAACTTGAGATACACATGATACTTTCAAGTCATTTTAACCAATAGACAGCTCTGTAACTGTGTAATAATAGCTCTAGCCATGCATCTCCCCTGTGGATTTCAAACAGTCAGTTGCTTCTGTTTCTACACCGATTCCTGCCTCCTGTGGTCAGCCCATTTTAGGATCAAACACTATAAGGTTCTCCAACGACCTCCAGGGGTGAATGAAGCATGACCTTTAAACCCAAAGTGTGTGTACACAGATGACCCAAGCAAGTGTAGCCATTTGGGATCAAACAAAACAATCTCTGGACTTTACTTCTTAGTTTGTGTCACTTAAGTATTTTCTTTCTTCTCCTCAAGTTTCACAGGTGGGATGGTCAGTGGATGTGTGAGTGCAGGTGCTGGCCATATGTTGTTTAAGTTATTTGCAACAAAGGCTGCACACAATTCAGAAATGTGTTTTTTTATGTAGCAATTTTAGCTCTATAATACAAAAAGGCAAATGATGTAATTTGATCGTCAAACTGATTCACAAGAATTTCATAGAGACTTAAAACTAAGACAAAAGCAGGCTGCGTTTAGATGAAATAAAGGAAATGTGACTTTTTGTAGTGTTATTGTAATATATAATTTTTAGATTTGGCATTGCAAATTCTGAATCTAATTTTAGCAATATGGTGACTTACACCCTAACCAAACAACAGTGGATCCTTTAATTCACTTGCTTTCACACAGTCTAATAGAAAATCACTCCTCTTGTATGTGACCAGCTTTGAGAAATGATTAAATAATGTTAATCAGACACAAACAGCCAAATAAAAGTGCTTTATGTTTACTTTTTGTAATGAGTTGTATTGAAATGACTTATTTTTGATACTCCTAATTCCTATAATTAGGTCCTATGATTATACTGTGACCTGAATAATCACAATTATTGAATAAGCAAATAATCCCCATTAAGAATCTTAGTATTTTTCCAAATTGTACATTGCTCTATAGATATTGTGTTATCCATTATCACAGTAATAATAATTTTATGATATATTGTGAAGCCTTATATGCTACTTGAATGTTGGTCAGTCTGCTTGTCTTTTATTGACTAGTGACTCTTTGGCTGTTTGATTTTATAATTTTCTGTTGTTGTGGTTTTGAGCTACACAAGAATAAACTGAATTGAATGCCCTCACCCATGCACAGAGTGTCTGAAATAGGCAGACAGGCTCGGATCTCCACCTCGTTCTCAGAGCATATGGTGCAGTTTTGGCACGGCTTGGTTCCGCTGCTGTCCTCTATAAAGGTCCCTGAGCCGCACGTCTTGCACTTGGTGTCACCCTGGGGTCCACACTCCCGAACAACGCCCTCCCCACGTGAACATTTGGAGCAAGGAGCACACAGACCATATTCCCGTAACAGGAAGTAGCCGCTGTCGCATTCGCACTGAGTGTCTTGAGTGGCCGAGCAGACCGCCGTAGATGGGACGCTGGAGGGACATTTGGTGCATGGGAGACATGGCTCGAGATTATCAGATGAAGAAAATGTACCTGAAAAATAAGTTTACAAGATGTTCAAAAGTGAATCAATGCAAAATGACTGATTGTAACTG